GCTGAGTGATACTAGCAATCACTCAGCCCTCTGTGAACAGTAAACAGCCATCAGTGTGCTAATGATCCATTGTTAGGCTGATGGTCCTTCTTGAGCATGTGATCAGCTGGTTCTGGTTGTCAGCAGCAAACTGGTTGATCCACTCTGAGAAGGTGCTATTTAAGAGACTGAGCTGAATACAGCACCTCAGACTGAGGAAGTCCTCAGGATGAGAGACAAAACGTTTCTACATTTTTTTGTTGTTTTGCTTTGTTTTGTTTTTTTGAATGTCCAGAGGACCAGATTTAACTTTTTTAGGTTCCTGTTTTGAGTTTTCTACATTCGCCTTAGAATCTAGCTGGTTTTTTTTTTGTTACCTTTTTCTTTTAGCCATCCTATTAGTAAAAAAAAAAAAAAAAAAACTGCAGTATGACTTTTTATAACTGTTTATTGTTGTTGCTGTTGTCCATTGTTGTCATCTTTCTTTGTTAAATCAGGTCTCTCTTGTAAATGAGTCCTCGAGGCTCAGTGGGATTAACCTGTCTAAATAAAGGTTGGATGAATTTCCACATGTCGTGGTGTCTCTGAGTGTGTCTAATCCCTAAATGCTCCACGGGCGCTTACATAGCTGCCCACTTCCCCACCTGGGTGCATCCCAGGTGCGATGGGTTAAATGCAGAGAACTAATTTTGCCATTGTATGGGAACATACAATGATGACAGTCTCAGACTTCCCTTCCCTTCATTTTCAATGAAAAAAACATGACCAATGAAGCTAAATATTCAAAAAAGTGAAATTTATTCCAATACCAAAAGTGACAGCAGAAATGTCCTGAATGAGCCCAACATTTCCATATGAGTTGTTGAAACAGAACACAAATTGTGGAACTAGTTAAATGCCAAACAATACATTGTATGAACACACAACACACCACCAGTGATACTGACTCATCATTTCTTCTCTAATTTCTGGTGCTGACTCATCATTTTTTTCTCTAATTCGTGGTACTGGCTCATTTCTTCTATAGTTTGTGGTGCTGACTCATCAATTATTCTATAAATTGTGGTTTGACTTGTCATTTCTTCTATCACTTGTGGTGCTGACTCGTCATTTCTTCTATGACTTGTAATGCTGACTCATCATTTCTTCTATAACTGTAGTGCTGACTCATCAATTATTCTATAAATTGTGGTTTGACTTGTCATTTCTTCTATCACTTGTGGTGCTGACTCGTCATTTCTTCTATGACTTGTAATGCTGACTCATCATTTCTTCTATAATTGTAGTGCTAACTCATCATTTCTTCTATAACTGTGGTGCTGACTCGTCATTTCTTCTATGACTTGTAATGCTGACTTGTCATTTCTTCTAGAACTGTAGTGCTGACTCATCATTTCTTCTATAACTGGTGGTGCTGACTCATCATTTCTTCTATAACTTGTGGTGCTGACTCGTCATTTCTTCTATGACTTGTAATGCTGACTTGTCATTTCTTCTAGAACTGTAGTGCTGACTCATCATTTCTTCTATAACTGTAGTGCTGACTCGTCATTTCTTCTATAAGTTGTGGTGCTGCTGACTGTGGTGCATTATCTGTGCCAGGATTAATACCTGCTCCTCAGTCCATCATGCCCCGCCCACTCACACCTGCTCCCTGTATGACTGCTCTCACCTGTCACCACTCGTCTCATCGGTCCATGGATTCTGTGGGTCCTCTCTCAGCTGCAGGCAGCCATCGTGGTTCTGTACCGTCTTGTGTAATTCTGCTGTCTTTGGTTTTGTTATTGATCAACTATCATGGAAGTTTTCATCCTTGGGTCCAAACTTGACCTCAGATTGTTCAGGACGGGTTGGACTGTAGACACCACGCAGAGGCAGAGACATTTTTGAAGACTCCGTAGCTTCTTCATGAAGCAGCTCCTCTGATGTCTCATTTGCTCTGCCTTCCTCCTCTTCATCCTCTCAGACAGCTAAGGATTACAGAATTCTTCTTTCTAACTTCATCCAGCGCTCTGCTGGGAGGATGATGACTTTCTGCTTTACTGCTCGCGTGGATTAACGTGAAGCAAAAACTGCCATTTAACTGAACTTCCAAACATTTCGGCGCAGCTGTAGTTTATTATTTTCTTTGAACATCATGCAGAGCGTCACAGAACGAGTTGTTCTGGAAGATGTTTGTGAGCTTCAGAAGAAAATGCACATCTGGGCCGTCTTTGTGCTGCTGCCACACTGGTTTAGGTTTTGTCATGACTCTTCTCATTTTATGTATTTAATTAGAGGTTTAAAAAAATCTTTCTGCGTAAATATCTCATGTTGCAACGTGGACAACCGTGGCTCATAGACAAGCACGGCCTATACAAAATTATTTTGTTCTTTTTATTTAGTGGGCGTGGCTTATATTCAGGCGCACTCATCAGTCTGGAAATGATGGTAGTTTATTGCAGCTCACGCATCTAAAACCACAAACATTCCCTGTTCAAACCTGACAGCGATGGGGGACAAAGAAGTACTGCTAGTCTGTGTAGACGTAGTCAATGAGCGTTATGCAAAATAAGAATATAACAAATGTAAATAAAACATGAGCTGATCTGGATCAGGGGCAGCACGGTGGATCACTTGGTAGAGCTGCTGCCTCTCAGCGAGCAGGTTACACCGGTTCAAATCCCGACTGAGGACCTTTCTGGGTGGAGTTTGCATGTTCTCTCTGTGCTGCGTGGGTTTTCTCCAGGTGCTCCGGTTTCCTCCAAAAACATGCATGTTAGACTGACTGGTAACTCTAAATTGTCACTAGGTGTCCCTGTGATGGAGTGGAGACATGTCCAGGTGTCCTGCCCAGATGATAGATGATGGATGGATGGATGGATGGATGGATGGATGGATGGATGGATGGATGGATGGATGGATGGATGGATGGATGGATGGATGGATAGATAGATGATGGATGGATAGATGGATAGATGATGGATGGATGATGGATGATGGATGGATGGATAGATGAATAGATGATGGATGATGGATGGATGGATGGATGGATGGATGGATGGATGGATGGATAGATGATGGATGGATGGATGATGGATGAATGGATGAATGGATGGATGGATGGATGGATGATGGATAGATGGATAGATGATGGATGGATGATGGATGATGGATGGATGGATGGATGATGGATGGATGGATGGATAGATGATGGATGGATGGATGGATAGATGATGGATGGATGGATGATGAATGGATGATGGATGGATGGATGATGGATGGATGATCTGGATCACACTGGTTCTGAGCAGAAGTAGTTTCTTTCCACAGTGCATGATGGGTATGTTGTGTTGTTTATTTATCAATGCAGTTTAGCACAAGGTCAACAGTTCAATGAAATGTTCAGGATGAGAAGAACTAATTTGACTCTAACACAAAAGAAGAAATAATAAAGCGTGCAATAAGGGGACAAAATAAAGTTCCAAAAAATGAAAAGAAATATAATATTTACAAGGTCCAAAAGAAATATGGTAAACAACAACATGGTAGAATATAATCGTGCAAGTAGGATGAATTTGTACTCATCTGCTCACACAGACTCATGTTCGTGCTGCTGTTCAGTGTATTGTTTTTGTACTACTAGTGCTTAGTGTATTCTTAGTTTAACATATTTCTTAGTTCATATCTTAGATCTTATTACTGTTTTGATTTTACAATTTATACTTTTGTTGGATGTAACCGTGACCGTGTGTATACGACAGATACACTGATACCGTATCATACATGATACAGCCACATAGTACAGCAACAGTAGACAATAAACATATTAGTTGTCACACATGTGTCTTGATGTTGTTGTCAGTAGTTCAGTGGTATTTATCAGTTGTTCAGTGTTATTTATCAGTTGTTCAGTGTTATTTATCAGTAGTTCA